TCTCAGCTGATGCTCACACTGCAGAATACAAACTAGGTCATATATCATTGGTTTTGATGCTATAACTTGGTAACAATTCACTCCTTCGCTTAACGTGGTTACCAGGGCAATGTCAGACTGATGTTGACCTCCTTTTTTCTGAAACAGCAGAGGCTTTCAGCGCTTGATTGCCACGGTCTCTACAAATCTTTGTAGCCGTTTATTTAGGTTTGTGTAAATAACTCGACTCGGTGGTCAGTCTGCAGCAGATGAAGTGCCCTACGCGGTTGGTTGTTTGCGTATCCCTCAATCTGATCCGGTCGCGTTTGACCCATACTGGTCTATGTTCTACCACTCGGTTACTCGGTTGATGAGATGCAGCGAAACAATTCCGCAATTAGATCATGTTCCCTTGCAGTGTGTTGTGTTCATTTTTAGTGTTCCGTAAATAGTTGCACCTGCCATAAATCTTTGTCCTTTCCTTATCACATCCTAGACGAGGTGATGAAAATCTGTCAGTACGGATGTGTACAGTCTCCGTGGGGTAACACAAATCACAACAGAAAGCAAGATGGCCAGTGAGATGTTTGTATCTGGAAAAATTACTGGAATTGGAGAGAACAGAAAAATCTGTTGACGAAATCGCACCTTGTAGTCTAGTTAGGTTATCTGGGGTGAACAATTCCTCGTTATTGTTCGGAAAGCTGTCTGTGGTTGTTGATTGTGATGATTTTTACCTTAGATTGTAGGATACAAAATAATTACTAGGTAGTTGAACACGTGAATATTTGCTCGTTTTTTTTCTATAAAGAAGACATCTTGGATCACTTCGAACTGCGCATCCACGCGAGTCGGAACTCACACAACATTAATCAAACGTGGTTATCTTAAGAAGGCAACATGGAAATGATTGGAAGCACCAGCCGCCATGCACAAAGACTGGTCTATGGATTGTGTCGAGAAGGAGTCAGAAAATATTCGGATGTCGGAAGCGCGGGTATGAGTGGGGCAATGTACTTGTGCGCTGGCATGATGCGATGTAATTTAGAATGCAACTAATTTTCCTAGCATTGAAATGAAACCAAGGATGAGAGTTGTTACATCACACTACGGCTGACTAAAGGTACTAACAAAGCATCTCTATTGTTAAAGGTCACATTCCGATCACCTCGAAAGTTATCGAATTCATCAAACCGGACAACACCGTCCTCAATTAGATTATGTAACCAACTAACAAAATAACAAAGTAACTCAAATGTTTTGTACAAAAGTAGTCAGTCTAATGACAACTGATTGTTAACAAATCCAGAAATGAGAAGCGGTTGACAAGTCCGTGTTCAATGGATAGGTTTACAGTTTGGTGGACGACAAGTGGTTAAGAGAGCCCTGTTCAGAAGTGTGGAATATGAGGATACCAAACACTCAATATAGTTCGAACATGTTTTCGTTGAATTACGTTTCAAGCCTTCATGATCACATCTATGCATGAAATAATTTCAATAGGGTCAAACAGACATGGGGGTGAATTATGTGTGTAGTGGTGAGCCCGAGGGAACTCGAAATTCTTACGCTGTCTGCAATACGTAACAGATATTCTCTACGTTACGTCATGGTCATGTGAACAAGGGATTTTCCCTTCCCTTGATCAGTGGAGTTTGAGAGCTTGAATCAATTTTTGTTGTGCGCACACCTCAGGCTCCGTGAGTCAGATGCTAATCGCCTGTGCGGTCACCAACGTCCGAAACCGCATTATCCTCGAGCGGAGCGTGATGAGAGACTCGATCAGTGATTGTAAATGCCGATAGCATATCAACGAAGTGTCCCATCTCTACCAGATGATCAACGATCGAGTTTGACACAGCTCCACTCCCACCCTGTGTGAACCAGCGTAAATTGTGTTCTTTGACCCGTTGAAATAACTGCCTTGTCACAAGACTTACATAAGTTTTACCACAGGTGCACTCTAATTGATATACAATCGTAGTAGAAATGAATACAGTCAGGTTATTTTTGTTGCGACATCGGATGTTTGGTGACATAAGAAGCATATATCTTAACTGGGTGGCATCACTGGCGGATGTCACTGCTGCGAAAAGACTCTATTGAGCTTGTCAGCGAAGACATCCCCTTTAAAGTAACTGTTTTATAAAATGCAGTTTCTTTTCTTTTGATGTAAGAATATCGTCAGCATTTCGTCGAGTAGTTTATTTCCACCAGTCTGTGGCCTGGTGGGCTTCCCTTGGCAACATGATCAACTTGAAAAACAGTTGCTTTTGATTTTCCAGTGTTACTGCGACTTTTATAGCGACCCTCCATCCGGCACGATGTTTTATTTGTATATTGATTTTTCCTTCTTCATCAATTGTTTTTTGCAATTTCTCACACAATGTGTCAAAGACGAAAATTGATGTTCACCGGCGGGAAAAGTGTGCGTTGCTTATACAGCATTTGACCTTGAAAATCAAACAAATCGATTTGACAGCGTATGAGGCAGATAACGCAGGTCGCTTCTGTAAAATCACGTAATAATATCCGATGATAGAAAAGGCGCAGCACGAAATTCGAAAGGTGCCTTGTTCACACTATTGCTAAACTATTGTAATGTTGATTGATTGGAATTGATTGACTAGTGAATAAGTGAGAGTTCATGAAAAGAGTCCACTTAATCAGGTTGTTAGTGGGTAGCCAAGGTAAGACCAGTAGACTTGCCAACAGTGCCTCTGAGTGTACAGTTGACTGGAAGAGCTGAGGAATGTGAGTGAAGGTGACGTTTGAAGGGTAGTCCGTTCTATTCATTAAATAACAAGTATCTCACTACACTACTCACAAGTAACTCTGAGTTAACTTCAGTGTTTCTAAGTTGATTGCGTCCATATGATACGCCTAACATTGTACACAGTGTGACTGTTAACATTAGCAAATCCAGGCTGTAATGAACACCAAGGAGGTGTCACATGTGTTATTTAAGACTAGTATGATTTCTTGATGTTTTTCGATGAGTATTCAGCAACAACAACCGTTATGAAACCTTCCTACGAAACACAAATAAAGGTATCTACATCGGTTGTAGTTGCTAATATCCATATGAATCTCGACTTGTCTCCCGCTGAACCCGAAAATTTTCACTGCCGTCAATTCTGGTTGGGTAGATGTTTAGAAACAATTCTGCTATCTTTTGGATCGCCGGTGATCTCCTTGGACACATTAGAAAGCCCCCTTGATGTCCTTTGAAGGATTGAATGAAGCAAACTGTTCTACCAGATTTCATAGTGATTCTTCTCCTCGCCAGAAGCGGGTTCTATCGGGTAACTCTGACTACTCTTCTTCGAGTTTATGCCCAGGTGATCTACTGTAAACCTGTCAACACTTGTTACTCGAGCATCCAACAAAAACTGTTACGTAACGTAAAATGTTCAGCGGAAATCAATCTCGTAAATCTAAGAACGATTCACCGATTCACGAAGTGCACAGTTAACCACAGGTCCTGGTGTTAAGTGAACAACAAACGGTTGCCTGATACTCTATTTCAGTTACTTGGTGCTTAACTAATACTACTGATATCGATTACACCCTGACTTTCATCACATTTGTGCCTCCCCACTCAATTTTCTATAAGTCACTCGAACCAAGTTCGTTGGTATCTTGTGAAGGAATAGATTCTTCAAAGTTGTGGGTAGATAAATTGTTACGGAACAACGAGACAGTTGATCTCTTTCAGAATGACCAGGAAACTACTTTTATTTAGATCAAAAGTTCAATGGTACGAATGGAATCTATGAAAATAATGATTGACAGGGTGTCCGAATAAAATCATAAGAGTGAAGAAATATGACCGCTTGTGTCCGACTTGTCATCATCAAAATTATCACAATGCGACGCTTCCGGGTTCGAGCCAGCGAAGTCCCAAATGAGAATAGTAGCATCCAAAGAACAGGAAACGATTTTGTACGGTTCAAACTGCAACCCAAATATACGATTCTTGTGTTGTCTCAGTGTTCGAATGCACAGCTGACTCGATTCCGATCGGGAATCCAACGCATTCTGCAAATCCCAAATCCTAATCGTCCTGAAAATGGAGAAAGATTACCGATGATTGCAATGAACAGATTCCTAATACATGAACTGTAATAATATACGAGTAATACAGACCCATTGTATTTCATTTATCAAATTAGTCCCGATTGGTTTGCTAAAAGTTAGCCAACAAGCTCGTTTTGGTGCTTCGTCAACTGACTACATACAGTGCCACTCATACTTGATTCAATATGGTTTAAAGGGAGACATATCAGCAAAGACAATCAGAGTTTAAAAAAGTTGACGGAATTTTGTGAGTATGTTTGTATGTGTGTGTTTGTGTGGAAAGTGGATACCGGAAGACGGTTGCGAATGTGTGAGTGTACGAATGAGTGAGTGTTCACGAACAGAGGTTACGTTATCAGGTAGTTGGTGGATGGCCATGATGAAATGAAACCACTGGTCTTATCAACTTTGAAAAAAAAACGAGTCGGTGAGCGAACCATTATTTTTGGATACTCCTAGTCATGCTCTTACATATCATATCTTATCAAATCTTTCTGTGTACACGAGAAAGGGAAGGGGAGTCGGACTGCAACTGCCTTGTCTTTTGACGAAATTTGAGAGACTTGAACTCTTTGAATAACCTGCTCTCTACTGGAAACAGAGAGGATAGAAAGCCTCAAGCATCTTGACTGTGTGGTCAGACTCAGTCAACTAGTTCGTAATTGCTGTCGCCCAGGTCCTAATCAATCCCTAGTTTACATAGCTGGGGCGATACCCCTTGATGCGGTCAGAGAGGCATTTCATCGTTCGACCCACATAACATGCTTCACAGAAGCAGACGAACTGATAAACTCAAAACGAGGTCGTATCCGGACGTAATCTATCTTTAGTCTGCCGGAAGAGAAAAAGTTTAGACCTGAATGTAATGCAAGGTTTAGTGGCAAAGTAGCTGAATTTGATGAACGGTTGAATTTGGCTACTCCATATTTTCGTGATATTTTGTCACCCAGGATGGTATAGTCACTTCTTGGTTGTTGTGCGGCATAATGCCTCCGATGGATATGATACCTTTCTTTAATGAATAGACGACTCAAGATATTCATTCTCTAGAAAAAATATTACGTATTCTTCTCAGTTCATACTCGACAGAGTCCGAAAAACGAAGTTTCTCAACTCTTTTGGGTAAGCAGTGAATCAAAGTTCTCTCCTGTTACAATGAGACAAAGCTTTGGTGACGTGTGTACTGTCCCGTACATCTTGTCTTATGGTGAGTACTCCTACATACGAACACATCTGACCGTCGAGAAAAGAGCACGTCTAGAATTGGGAGACCATTGATTGAGTTCTTTTTAAAGTATGAACTTCATTTTCGCATGAGTTCCATTAAGGTTTTCCAACGGAATAGCAGCATCGTCCATACATTCATTGTCATCCATGTCGTTTATAAAGGTGATTTATATGATGATCGTTAGAATGTCTTTATATTTATATGTTGCACCACCAAATTGAGATTCTATAATATATGTGCAGAGATAAAGAATACGCTTGGGCTACGGGTGGTCCAAAGAATATTTCAGAGTTTTCAGTAGAATTGCAATGAATTCATTGATCTCTTGCACTGGCATATTATTAACTAATAAGCTAACATCCGACGAGAACATCCGTGTATTGATTAAATAGATGGATGCGGTGGGACTGACAGAATCAAATGAGTCGCAAACTGAACTTGGTGATATCTCTTCTGACTGGTTCGAGTAGGTGGGTTGACCAGTTTGCAAGAGCGTGGCACGGTGAGTGACGCATATCCAAAATGGATGTTGGGCTGTCCGTATAGTCGAGATGTGATTCAAACCGGTCTAATTTTTTTCATACGTGGGCAAATGGATTACGCCAGCATGTTTGAGTTGTCTGATTGCCTTACATATTCTCACCTCTATAGCAGGGGGTATTTTTCTCTCCCCATCATTAGACGTGAACTGCCTACTGTCACCGAGTATTTTGTTCATCTTGGTAGTAGTCTGTTTGGTTTAGCATAACGATTCCCGTACCTTTGTCCGGTCTCGTGATCATTGCCTCCTCGTTGTTTTTCAGCTGCTTCAGCTTTTCCAAATGCTCTGATTTCAGATGCCTCTTTTGGCGATTTCTGTGGGCATCTTATACTGGAAAGCTGTATTGAACCAACTGGGATTTAAGCTTCTGAGCCGCGAGCTAAGATGATGATGATGGTGATGATGATGTTAAGTCTATTAAATGACCGAGTAAATTTTGGCTTACTGAATTGCCAGCTCCACATATGTATCTTCTCTGTCGACCCGTTTAACTGTATTTAGCCAATGAATCAGATCAGATCAATTCACAGGACGTAGCGGCGGCGTGCCAATTAGTCCAGCTTCTTGCAATGATGGGCTCCGTGGATCTCCTGGTACTACAGCAACCGGATCAGAAAACTGTTCTTCATTTAAACGAACAGTATACAACGACCAGGAGGGACCCGCTTCACAGGGCTCCAGTTCGGAGGGTTTCATCAGAAATGGTTTTGCAGCCTGCAAACTCAGTGGATGGCCAGTCAGCCATTAGAATTAGGGATTTCGAGTAACGGGATACATGGTTATTTATAAAAAGTAGAGTCAGAGACAAACCGAAAGTTCCTGGAGAGAGTGAAGAGGGGAATTATTTAAGAGTTGAAGAGAACAGAGGTAGATGAGGAAAGGAAAACGTGAGTTGAGGAGCTATTGCAAAAGACGTATATTAAAGAAATCAGCGATGGTCTTCGAGTCTGTTCAAACTGTTCACCTCAGTCCACCGCAAATCCGTCTATTGTTGAATCACATTGACCATTTAGGAATGAATGGCATAAATCAAATTGAACCGGATAAAAAATTTTATTTAAACTGATAGAACGTCAGTGTGTTTATACCTATCGGTTTCCCACATCTAGACAGACAAGTTCTTCCCCTCCAATGAAGGTCACCTGATTGAGCGATCAACTGCGGTTCTTAACTCTGTCCAAGTGAGTCCTGCAACGCTGTCTGTCCACCAGCCCATTACATGATTACCTATTTCCTGTGGATCAGAACACTAAACATATTACCGCATATCAATATTTGCAACCAGGGTGGTCAACTTCATTTTGGGAGAATATTTCGCGGAACATTAAACAGTCCCTAAGTAAGATTTTTTTCTTATAAATTCTTTTCTCGGAAAACTATAAAATCAATCATCTTATATTTCAATTGTTTCCTGATATTTTCGCACAATACCGGATCAGAAAGGATTCGCCAGCAAGTCAGACAGTTAAATTTGTCATTTGATCAACCGATCGGACAATCGAGGAGTTGCAAGCCGGGATTATTTAAAATAACTGAATGTGATATATTTCATCGGGTTAACACGTTTGACTCCCAATCGATAAGACAACCGTCAAACGACCAATGAGAAAAGCTTGAGAGTCACCATGATAACGACGCAGCCAATCAAATAACAGCGAATGGTCAAAACTGAATAGTAGGATTTAAGGGACGCAAACGACCAATCAAAACCCTCTACTGGAGTTAACACTATGTCATCTGTCTCCCTTCGTTGCTGTGGGGCCAAAATGAACTGACAATCATTGAAGACGATACCTGAACAAACATGAATTGGCAATTTGGTTCAGCCATGGTATGAGCTGGTCGGCACAGTGGTAGCGCACACGCCTTCTCGGACGGGTCGGGGAATATGCACTACTGACGAGCTCCAATATGAGCGAAACTCGATTCTACTGTTTTTGAGTGTATGGTTGAATTGATGAACTGAGGATTGTGAGTGAAGATGAAGTCCGAAGGATAGTCAGCTGAAATCAATAAAAATTAATTATCCCACACCACTACTCGCAAGTAACTCTGAGTCAAATGTGAGAATTATAAAAGTGCGGTGACACTAAGGACTGGTGCTGCCCCGAAGTTGCACTAAAGATGTTGCCTAGCCCGGCTAAGAAACATCTGTGAACAACATTTCCTAATCGGAGAGTACAACAACAACAACAACAACATATGCATCAATCTTGAATTGAAGTTGAACACCCTAACACTGAACATCCGCTTATGTAAATACTGATCGATGGATATTATTTTCTAGGATCGGTTTAACTTGACAGTGTATCTTTATGACTGATGTGAGAGAAAGGTGGTGGTTGGCACCTATTAGGGATGGGTGACAGAAATCGTTTACTCCACGGTGATTTTGAATATTGATCAAACTTACTGATCATAGGCACCGGAAACGATATGGTCCGAATCAAACATCACACAGCGTACAACACATTCGTGGCCTTCTAGCACGCGTACGCACAGCTCTGTCTCCATATTCCAGATACGAATCGTGTTGTCCGAGCTGCCCGAAACTAAAATTGGTTTGCGAACACATAAGCACGATACTCCACGACTGTGTCCACGCAGAACACAAACACTCGCCCCTGTATCCGCAGACCAAACCTGAAAAATGTCAACGTCCAACAGAAAATGTGTTCAACTTAGACCAGGAAAATCTGAGACAATGAAAAATTATTGATTTTGGTTGGGCTCGGTCACGATGAACAAACAACATGCTAGTGAAATCAGAAAATTTGGAATATATTTGGCACGCAGTTACGGAATACCATTACACACACACAAGCCTCGCGCGATGAATAGCCCAAATTGCTTTGAGCCAAATATTTAGACGAATGTTTATTGTATTTGTGTATGTATTTGTGTAACTTGTGTAAGCATATATGCTGATATTTCAGTTAAAATTTTCATTGGGTAGCACCGAATTCACAGTTTTTATTTATAGCATGTCCTGACGAGAATCCTTGTAGATCCTGGTCATGATTAGCACCGTTATATGGATGAGGTAAACGATAAATTCCAACGTGACGAACAAGCACGAGAGTGTAGCTCAGCCAGTCAAAGGGCACGCGCGCATATTTGTTTGTTGAGAAACTTCTTAAAAAGGCCCCGGTCGACTTTTTCCTGCCTTCGATTCCGCTACATAACTGTCAGCATCACCCAATAAGAGTGGAAATTTTGCGAAAGTCAGTTGTATTGGAATTGCGACATATCGTTTGTTTTTTACACTAACGCCACATCGTCCTTCTTACGCATCAAAAAACACCAGTGCATGAACTAAAGAAAGCTGTTACGGAAGATTTTAGATGTGAAGGGGACCAGTATCAGCTTCGGTGAATAGTTCGAATGAAAAAAGAGAACATTTGGAAACGGAATCAGCACTGCGTATGAACGCTTTGCAGAACTTCTTTGTGTCCAACCACTGATCACCAAGCGTGGATGGGTTTCACCTGCTGGATAGCTTTTCCGGATGTGCAATAGCGGAATAACTTAATGATAAGAAGATTCGGTTAGTGATCATTCTAGAATACGCCCAAGAATCCATTTTCACTGGTACGTACAAATATCGCGTACCGTTTCGGAAACGATGAAAACACCACAATCTCTCTATTTGACGATCTGATCCCATTTTCTATTCGAGCCCCTCTCCCCCATGATCTTAGACAGAAGCAAGTCTAAACGGTCACAAGGTTATTTTACCCCGTCGAAATTAAATAATGATTAATATGATGGACTCGTGTAAATGAGGCGTGAGCTGAAAAGCTGCGAGGCACTGTACAGCTTTCTCGACCTAGTCCGGTCTTTATCAACAGTACACTAATCCACCAACCCAACCGGGGATCGAGCACGGGACCTCCCAAATAGAACGCAAGCATACTACATACTAGGCCACTGGGCAGCTGATCACAGTTTTCATTTTGAATTTACACGATATAGCACAACCCGTCTATGAAAGCTTGTCGCCAGTATTGGTCCTCGGTCATCTCAAGATAAGCCTCCAGGGATACGATTTAGTTGGAAACTTTCACAACCTCATTATTTGTTGTACGAGAGTAATAGAGGATTTGGTTTTACATAACGAATGCATCATTTAAACAAACCAAATCCTCCATTACACACATACAGAAAATTGATGCGATTGCTAAAAGCACTTTGGCGTGTTTGTATGATCTCATTTATGTTACTCATGAGTCGTTTCCAAGACAATATTTCCCTTGTTGAGCTGCTAACGTCACATTGAAAATGCCAATCAGATTCCTTAACTTGAGTGAATCGGACTGAAAATATTCCCTGAGCAAATACAAAAGCAGAGCGCAACAATATCCTACGTATTAAAGGTGATAACTTCATTATTCAATGAGAAATTCAGAAGAAGTAAACAGATAATCAAATGTGATGGAAATGTTTGCGATAACTAACAAAGTGCACTAGACAGCTGTTTTGTCCTGTTTGGGACTCGTCAGCAGCGCGTCCTTTTGTGTCCCTGTCCGGACTCCAACCGTGCTTAAGAGTGCCTGGTGCCTCTGAACAATTGAATTGGTTAATCCAAGCTTGAAACTCAAACACACAAGAGTGCCTGATTGAGCCATTCGCACAAGGTGATGACCGTCGACCGTGAAGCTCAGGAGTAAGGGTTGAAAATCTCAACCTGACTGATCACGGCTTGAACCCTGACGAGGACAGAAAATGTAAGCACTGCTGACGAGTTCCAAACAGGAAGAAACAGCTGTCCAGTACTCTTTGTTTGTTTATCACAAACATTTCCATCGCATTTGAATACGTTATCTCGTGAGGAATTAACGATCTCCCAAAGAATGAAACCCACAAACAAGCCCATCAAGAGTGCCTGGTGCCTCCGAACAATCGACTAGGCTAATCCAAGCTTGATACTCTAAACAGATACCCATTCAGATGGGCATTTCACTGACAGATGTCAATTGAGAATTATCCCAAAATCCAAAAGTTTTCTCTCTATGAAATTCTATGGTCCTGTTGATTTCCTCTTCGAAAGGAAAAACGAAGTGTAATTTCAAAATAACAGAACGCACTGGACAGCTATTTCCACCTGGGTTCATCTCATTCCCTTTGCAAATCGACTGATCTAATTTCTATAACCACTCAGAAGGGATTCACACAAAAAACTGGCCACCTCTATTGCTGAGCTGATCAACAAAGGACCAGAGTAAAACGTCCCGTTTTATTTTACCTCAATATGTCCCTAAAACCACCTTAAAAAGCGTGATGCGTCGGATTAATCCGGTCACACTCGTCCTTGGTTATTACCCAGTTGAAATTATTCCAAATCAGACTACTTATTATATCCTGCATTGCACTCATGAACTTACGTAGGTAAGCGAACAAGTCCATCTGAGATCATCGTCGCTATGATTGCACCTTGCTGGATGGCAACGCAAAGCCTGTTTCAAAAACGCTTTGAACCGCTAGGCGATCAAGGTATCCAGATATGGTATGTTGCACCTTCAAAGTGTGAAGTGCTTGTTCAAGACTGGCAAGAGTCTGTGCCTGCACTCGCCCTCTGTGATGATCAACTGGAAGTAGGTGAGGGCTTTAGATACCTCGGGAGATTAATCACCGCTGGAGGTGGGGTTGGGATGGAGATTACATCACAAATAGTGCAAGCTAGAGCAGATTTCGCCAATCTGCAACACCTATGGAGCCGCCATTTCGATCCCAGTGTCCCTTAATGAAAGAGTGTACAACGCTGCGGTTCAGTAGTGCTCTACTGTACGATTACGATACCTGATCCCTCCACACTTAGGGTGCTAATCGACTTTCTGTGTTCGACCACTGATGTCTCCGAAACATTGCTCGTGTCTAGTGGGCACACCGGGTGAGTAATGCCGAGATCCGTTGTCGTGTGCCAGGTGCGGATAATCGTTCTCTAACAGAAGTAATCACTTTGCACCGCCTCCGATGGCTTGGTCACGTATTGCATATGCCTGCCAATTGACTAGCTTTCCGTGTTCTTTATGCACGTGTTGGGTAAGGTTGTAAGAAGAGCCGCGGCGGTCACACCATGCATGACATGGCTTGGAGTTATAAAGAAGCTGCCTTCAGCTTTGGTTGCGGTTGGTGCAGCCCACACTCCAGGGTAAGGCCAAAGGGATGAGGATTGTCGTTGGTTAGAGATGCTGAGAGATGTGGCCCAGAATAGAAGTCCGTGGTGTGAATGATGTACGGTCTATCTGTCTAACTCACGTGCCCCCCCCCCCCCAAAA